TGGATCACTACAAGTCCGATCTAGTAGTGAGATCCTGAACACCCTGTAAACCATTCCCTAAAATTAAAAAAGTCAAAGCAGAACACAACTCATAACTACCCAAAGGAGAAACAATCTTTAGTCCATGGATGGACAAATGGACCAAGAATATGTGGCATACACTTACAGTGGGTTATTGGTATTAAAAATAAATCCTGTCACATGTTACATGAGTGAACCTTAAGAACATTATGCAAAGTAAAATAAACCAGCTACAAAGGATAAAATATCGCATTATTCCACTTATGTGAGAATATACAGGGGTACAGAGGGCAAAGTTTCAGTTTTGCAAAATTAAAAGCCCTGAAGATATTTCACAACAATGTTTGAATTGGATATTTAGGAATAAGTAAGGACAGCCAGGGATATGGCTCAGTTGCTAACTCCTGTCTGGCAAGCATGAGGTCCAGAATTTGATTCCCAGTGCCATAAGGGCACTATGAAGATACTTACATTAAAAAAAAAAATTTCCACAAAAAATTTTCACAAAATTTAAAATACAATAAAAACATGTGACTATAATTCCTTGTAATAATACAAAGTCTATTAATAAGATGAAGGGCAAAATAACAGTTTGCTCAATTAAGATTAAATTTAATTAGGTTCAGTGTTCCTGAAGTGTGTAGCTCAGCAGAGCTTATACTTAGCAAGTACACAGCCCTGGGTTCTATACCCAGAACCAAACAAACAAAAAGCCAGTGTACCCTAACATAAAAATCAGTTACAAATATTCACATGTCAATAATGATCTGAGATTTTACTATTTTGTATTTAAAATCTTCTTTTCATACACACACCTTGTTTCTATGATACAACTTGTTTTCCACCTAGGTATTATTTGCAGGGAAATATAACAGGTACTGCCAAATACTGCTATTTCTCTAAAGGCATACAACTTTATCTATTTATCAATATTTTAACCAGTGATCACCAGCTGCCCAACAAACAAAAAATCAGTTCACAAAATCTCTTGATGCTAGGGCTGGGAAGATAGCTCAGTAGAATAAATGCTTGCCTGGCAAGCACAAGGTCCTGAGTTCAGTCCCCCATAC